AAAGCAAAACACGGATGAATAATGATTGTAAATCAGTTTAGTGGAACTAATCCCCCTCCCCTCATCTTTAACTAAATAATAATTATGATTTGAAAAGAAAACAGCATATCTTTGTTAGCACAAACCTTGTCTTCCGGAGTGATATCCATATGTACCCAGGCGAAAGCAAGAGGTCTGTTGAGGCGTACACTATATGTGCCCGATGTTATCTGTCCAACTCTCTGCAATAAATTATTTTCCATGGATTTATTCTGCGCAGCAAAGAACAGTTACTTGTCAGGAAAACCTTACATCTTCGCTGCCTTCTTTACGAATCACTTCCATGCGTTTTGGCACTGTTCTCCATCCCTGCAGCTCAGTGAGCGGCTCACAGATCACTAATACCTAAAGAAATTAAACATTTAAGTGTATGTTAGCACCAAATCTACACGAGTCCGAAGGGACGGTTTATTTCTGAAATGGATCACAGTAAGATGCTTCTGTCTAACTGGAAACCCTGGTCATAACTGTAGAATGCGAGAGACTACCTCCAAATAATAAGAAAAATAAAGTATTCTATAGTAGGAATCCCAAGACCGTTGGGACAGTTAGTATGGGGATGTCAGCAGAGCTACTATGATTCTCCCATATGCTCGGCGCAGCTTTGCCAGTAAGATGGATACTTTCTTTTATGAAATATTTTTTTAAAAAACTGACCAGTTTCCGATCCCACTGTTTTTGCGACAATTCGAGACATGAAGCTTTTCCAATGAAATTCTCCTTGTTAAGGTCTACAATGTGGCTCATTCCACATTCATATGGGTTTGTATTCAACGTAATCTGAAACTGGCTGCACATTACAATTCATTATTTAAATAATGATCCCCGAAATCAAGCGGCTGGCAGAAAGTAAACGCAGGTTGCTAAGATTCAGAATGCGCTGCTAACTGTCAGTTTATGAATGCAACGTAAAAATGAAAGACGTCACAGGGAATTGAAGAAACCGTAAGAAGGTGAAAAAAGTTCCAACTCATTTTTGCATATATTTGTACCGCAGGAGATTCTTGAGCCAATGCGCGTGTTCAATTAAAAGCACACTGCCAAAAAGCTGAGGACAAGAGTTATGGAAGCAAATGCAAGGGGGGTGGGGAAGGAAGAAGGGAGGGAAGGCGCAAAGCCGTAAACAGAAGACCGGTTTTTGAACTGGATTTTTGTAGATTTTGAGCATGCTAAAAACGTGTGGATAACATTTAATGGGGAAAAAAAACATACTTCTCGACCCCAAATTTTATAGCCATGTTCAATACGCATCATATTCAACGTACTCTGTCCAAAATTAACAATCCCATAGCTTTTGCCGACATCCATTAGTGAGTTGTACAGTCTCAGCGTATCACCTCTAAAAAACAAGATTTTAATGTAGAGGAAACAAATTCTACTAATAAATGGGCAACAAATTCTGAAAAAAAAATATTTGTAAAAATTGAAATAAATGGCCAACGCACGGGCTGCCCGTGCGAAGATGCGTTTTTTGCAGAGTTCCCC